TGGACTAGTGTGGCTTTTGGTGTTAAGTTCATGGTTCACGGTGGTAGCTTTAGAAGACAGTGACATTTACGCATCCTACACAACATTTAATGAAAGTGTTAACTTTACACATTTGGTAGTGGATCCTCAATCTGGGCGTGTTTATGTGGGTGCAACGAACTGGTTATATCAGTTTAGCAGCTTTCTTGTCATGGAAGCTGAATTAGAAACTGGACCTGTAATGGACAACATTAATTGTTCCCCAACAGACTGTACTAAATTGAAAAAAGTGGCCACGACTAACTTCAACAAAGTTCTAGTCATTGACGACAAAACTGGGATGCTGATTGTTTGTGGAAGTGTCCAACAGGGAGCATGTCGTCGCCATCATTTAAAAAATATTTCAAATTCTGAAGATCTCATTCCGGTTCCTATAGCTGCCAACGATGCAAATTCTTCAACTTACGCCTTCATTGGTCCAGCTGGTTATCTTGGGCATATTTCTCGGGTTCTCTATATAGCCACCACCAACAGTCGCTTAGGGCCCTACCGAGATATGATTCCAGCAATTACTAGTCGCAGTTTGGACGACGACCCAGGCCGAATCTTTGGAATCATTGAAAAGTCTTTCTCTACCATAGCTCGTGTGGATATCAGCTCTCACCTTAGAGATTACTATTTAGTTAATTACATCTATGGGTTTTTCTCAGAAAATTTTGTCTACTTTGCAACGGTCCAGAGAAAATCTCATTTGAGGGCACTTGAGGAATGCGGTTACGTCACAAGGTTGGCACGAGTTTGTATATCAGATGCTAGTTATAATACTTATACGGAATTAACGTTACAGTGTATTGGAGAAGATGGTATTGATTACAATAGTCTTCAAGATGCCAGCGTTGTTGCAGCAGAGGCTAACCTAGCCGAAACTCTTCAAATTCCTAGAGGAAGTAATGTTTTAGTCGGTGTATTTGCCCAGAGTGTTGCTGACCACACTTCAAGACCTTCCCGAAGGTCAGCCATTTGCATATTTTCTCTGGAAGCAATAGATAAGCATTTTACTGAAAATATACGTATGTGTTATAATGGGAGTGTGACCTCTCGTAATATGGATTACATCGCTGGAAGCATCAAGGACTGCCCAGAACCAGGAGTAAGTATACTTTTCTATTACATACCCAGAACCAGAGTAAGGAGTAAGTATATTTTTCCATTGCACGGCGTTATTATTCTGACTACTAAGTTCTTGTTAGTTATGTATAAAAAGAGGAAGTAGTTAACTTGTTCTTACAACATTCCAGTCAGTAGTATCTATATTATCGTTTTGTTCAGTAATAGACTAAAGTACCGCAGTTCAGTAAGTATAAGAGGAACCAAATGAGTGTAAAGTTTAGACAACGTAATTAGTGTAAGAATGTCGTTGAAACGTATAGTGAGTAACAATTAATAGTGGTTACTAAAATGAATTATTGCTTGCTATATGCTATTCATAGACAACGTGTACTAACATGAACAGAATAATACCGATGATGATTACAAAGAAAACCTCGTATTTAAAATTAGATCTTAAAAACTATTCATTCTAGAATAAAAACTTTACAGAGGCACCTTGAAAATCAGACGTTACATTTCGGAAATTTGGACATGATATAAGGTATTTAAAAACGAACCTAAATCGTTTTTCTCACAAACTAACGCTTTGGTTATTTATTTATTTTCTATCGCTCCCTTTCAACAATAGAAAATTGATGACTTGAATAAAATGCGTACTGAGCATTTACTATTTCACACATTACCAACGTTCTGGTAACCTGAACATTTACTATTCCACACATTACCAATGTTCAGATAACCTGAACATTTACTATTTCACACATTACTAACGTTCTGGTAACCGGAACATTTACTATTTCACACATTACTAACGTTCTGGTAACCTGAACATTTTCTATTTCACACATTACCTATGTCTAAACAACCATGAGCAGAATCTTGCGAAGATCGGCGAACACTGTTCAGAACAGATAATGCTTGTTGTATCTTAAGTTAGATCTAAGTTTAATATGGTGATTATGAATGACAGAAAACATTCTCAGTGACAATGTTTCAATGCCCTATGAAGTATTATTTATAATCACCACGTTTTAGCCAGAACCTAGAGATTAGAATGTTGCTGTAGTTACTTTTTTATTTCCGTTGTAAACTGTCACCATAGATACGAACCAAAATCTGGCTCCGATTCTTAATATTAACGGATGAAATCTTATGAAAGCATTTTGATTTGAATACAGCGAAAGTAGCGCTAACGATGTTAACAAGTGTATATATTTTAATAAGTGTATTTAAAACAGACTTGGTGTACTTCGAGATTACCGTGAATTCGAATTACATTCTTAAAATGCAATGCTTCTTTGGGTTTTTTTTTATTGCTAAAATATTATGTTGAGAATACTGGTATAAATGCCTCTGATCCAAAAACAATAATATTACACCATTTTTAAACATATTTTGTGTTTTGAAGTTTTCATGTACATCCCTCGTGTTTCCGAATATTAATATTCTTTATGGAAATCGCATGTTTTCCGTAGATAATATAATCCATGGTGGAATCGTGTTGACGAACAATGTCGAATGTTGCCTTCTGTTGAGGAGTTATCTAAGAATTCGGCAATGTTCCCGAGTAAGCATCTACTCCAGTTACGCTCTTTGAGAACCTCCAGTGATTTTTGCAACAGACTATATAACGATTTCGTACTGATAAAACGCAAGAAAAACTAATTAAACTTGACATTTAAACCTTCTGTCGACCCGTTGCAGCTCGAATGTTATATTTGTTGCTGTTTTCCATAAATACGCCCATTTTTTTGTTACCATACGTATAATTTACCTGAAAGTGCAGATAAAATTATAATTTTTTCCGCGGCTTGTAACAAAACACGCAGAAAACTCATGATATATCTTAATAAATAAAGCAAGTAACAAACTTAAGTAACTATTGGAATTTATCGCCGTTAGGGCTGGCTTATTAAGACCAAAGAAATACGTCGCACTACCAGACATCAAGCTTAACAATACGTCAAGAATGTTTATAAACTCGTGTTTTTGGTCTTAAATATTTATGTAATTTATTTAAAGTCTTTTGTTCTAAAGACATTCCTTCACCACTCCCCATTCTACGTGAACAGTATTCGGTAATTCATCAGACTTACGTCCCTCACACAGTCATCATTACGCGTCTATTAATCATTGTGTGACTGTGCGATAGGTTATATTTCCTAGATATGCATGGGTTGTTTCTCTCCCACCTGGGGTTAAGGTATTCACAAGTTGACTGGTATAAGGTGGGCCACTTCACGGAAGTAGAGTTACATGCTTCACTGTGTCATTATTCCTATTAAACATGGGTCGGACGTGGCCTATTGGCTAGTGTGCGCGGACTGTGAATCTGAGAGTTTTTTATTCGTGTGGCTATTGCAGCGAAAGCGCGTTTTGCATTTTAGGGACTTGTGTGCGTCATAAGAGTGACTGTCAAATCCCATTATTTGGTCAGGCAAGAATGGTTTAAGAGTTGGTGGTGAGTGCTTTGGTAAACTGCCTTCTCTCTAGTTTATCAGCTCAATATTAGGGAAAGTTTTGTGCAAATAGCCTTTTGTGTAGCTTTGTATGATAATTCTGAAGTAAATAAACATTTTTTGAAACATGTTTTGGCATTTAGATTAAAAACATTGTCATATAAAACATTTTCAATTATTTGTTTCTCATAAAAGCTTTATACCTAGAACATACATAACTATCTATCCCTATCTTAGAACAGAAATATTTCAATCACTGTACCATTGCTGTATTTATGTGATATAATTAATATCATATAAAAAACGTGTAACGTGTGTTTTCTGAGTTGCTTATGGATATTTAAACGAAGCGGCTATTGTATAAACCGTTGTTATTTGTGACTACACCATATTTTAATGAAATCTGTGAAGGTTTTCAGTTTTCAAGTTAAAATCTGAAGAGAATTTGGGAAGACAGTAGTGAAAAATACTTTTCCGCCTGATTTCATCGAAAGGGAGCCAAAGGCCGTCTGGAGGGGTCACCTGTTTTAGCCGCTCGCACTACAATACAGAAGTGTATTATCTGTCAGTCTGTCAGTAGACACTAAAACATAAGGAACGCTTAACGATGCAATTTGTACCATCGTGACGTCAGTAAAACGTGCGCATGCCATGAATCACGAGAAGAATTAAGAAATCTATAGGCTACAACAAAGCATGACATATGAACTTGAAAAGCAAGAAATGAAATTATTTGTTACTCTTAATTTTAGTTTTATTTACACTTGAAGCAAAACACTTTCAGGGACCCTGCAGAAGTACGTGTAGTATGTATGTATGTATACGTAGATTAACTCGGTGTTATCTACATGTGTGCATGTATGTATACGTAGGTTGACTCGGTGTTATCTACATGTGTGCATGTATGTATACGTAGGTTGACTCGGTGTTATCTACATGTGTGCATGTATGGATACGTAGGTTGACTCGGTGTTATCTACATGTGTGCATGTATGTATACGTAGGTTGACTCGGTGTTATCTACATGTGTGCATGTATGTATACGTAGGTTGACTCGGTGTTATCTACATGTGTGCATGTATGTATGTATACGTAGGTTGACTCGGTGTTATCTACATGTGTGCATGTATGTATGTATACGTAGGTTGACTCGGTGTTATCTACATGTGTGTATGTAAATATACTGGAGAGTGAAAAGGATGAAATGTACGAATGTACTAAAGTATCTAGAAGTTCTCCATACATTGTGATAGGGATACACCTTCAGATTTAGCCTGTATTTACAAGCCTCACATGCGGAAGAGAAACAAAATTAAGAGCAGATGTAGATCCTCAAGTCCTACATAATTACCATTCATCGTAGATAACTTTCTTACAGAGATACATTTTATTCTCCCCGTACTGTACTTTTCAATTTATCAGTCGAGTGATAATGACGTTATTACCATCGATTTAAGTACATACGAGATTAACTCTACGTCATACTATGTTTTTGATACTGTAAGTGAAGTCTTGTGTACACCACAATGTAATGTTGATACTGTAAACGAGGTCGTGTGTACACCACACTATTATGTTGATACTGTAAACTGTGTAAACTACACTGTTATGTTGATCTTGCGTGTGGGATCATGTGTAAAATACGTTCTTTTACTGATTCTACAATTAGATAAACCGTACTGTAAACCGGGATGATTTTGCTCAAAGTTTCTCAAAATAATTATTCATTAGCTTCAAAATGTGTGATAAATAATTAGAATTAATTTAATTTTTTTTTACCGCATATAGTATGGGTGTCATTGAACACAACTACATACTAATTAATAATTTCACATGTCGTACAGCATGGCCACAGTCAATCAAAAAGTGTAGCAATGTATCCTTAGAGAAGAAAGTTGCTTTGCATCGCCTAAGAAATTATTTATTTTTATATAAGAAATGTTTATTTGCAGTAAAGTAAGAACGCAGTCACTGAATGACTACACCATTTATTTGTTGTGTGATATATTAAAGTAAAAACCAAATCAAATATACTTACTTTAGGCTAACCAAAGTTGATGTTGTTCAGAACAGAAACTTTTGAACCTTTTGTTTGTTTGTCAATTACCTTGCAAGTCTGAAAAATCAATCACTCGGAGTGCACTAAGAAATAAATTAAACTGTGTAAATTTTCTTTTCATGGGTGCCACCTACTTTCAAAACCTGAAAATACGACCAGTGATTGCTTAATATGCCACTAGATAAAACTAAAACATATTTTAAAGTGGTGCAAAGAACCCTCCCAAGGGGCAAAGTCCCCACTTTATGGTAATGTTGTCACTTTGATAACACAATTGTGGCTGGGTGTACTTCATTTCGTTGCTGATATTCCAAGAGGAATCACATGTATAGTATTTGTTCACCCATTATGTAAGGCAAGGAAACCAGTATGGCGTCACACAGGTTTTGTAAAGTTAAGATGGTGCAGTGTACACTGTAATATAAACATGACTAACAGAAAAGGGAGACAGAGTTTTTCAGTGAAAACCTTTTTATTATTTCGCTTGGATATGGGTCGACCATCACCTAATGTCAGCATGTTCGAACTGTGTATTCGCCTCTAGTTTCAATCCCGTAATAGAATACTTTAAAAGAATGTGGTTGAAAAACAACAACAACAGCAAAAAAAAATCTGAAGTCTCGTGTTTGATTTTTATTACAATTATGGTTTCAGTACTTCATCGGAGTTTGGAATTTAAAATCGTAACAGAAAACACTGTGCATGTTGTTAATAGTGTAAGAAAGATTAAATGTACCTCACATTGCTTTTTGTTAGTGCAAATGTAATTAGCTGTAAGTCGATTTATGTTGCTACTATAATCGTTATTAGGTGTAATGCACATTGTTATGTTGCTACTATAATCGTTATTAGGTGTAGTACATATTGTTATGTTGCTACTATAATCGTTATTAGGTGTAGTACATATTGTTATGCTGCTACTATAATCGTTATTAGGTGTAAAACCCATTGTTCTGTTACTACTATGATCGTTATTAGGTGTAATACACATTGTTATGTTGCTACTATAATCGTTATTAGGTGTAATGCACATTGCTATGTTGCTACTATAATCGTTATTAGGTGTAATGCACATTGCTATGTTGCTACTATAATCGTTATTAGGTGTAATACACATTGTTATGTTACTACTATAATCGTTATTAGGTGTAATACACATTATTATGTTACTACTATAATCGTTATTAGGTTTTCGTCACATTGCTTTGCAGTTAGTGTAATTGGGTGTTCGTCACATTGTAATGCTGATAATGTAAGCGAGTTTAAGCGTACCTCGTATTGTACTGTGGAAACTGTCAGTAGAACCTGAGTATATCACATTATATTGCTTTTAATGGCTGCTATTCCTGTTAATGAAGATTATAGGAAAACATGCTTATAAGCATGATATTGGAATTAGCTGGGTAATTTTATAACAAGTTCCATCAAGGTTTTGTTGCAACACCAAGTTTAGTGGAAGAAATGAATAAAATCATCAAGAATATGTTGGTACGTTTAGTAACATTAAAAATATTTATATTAAATTTTGACCTATTGTTTTACTTGATTGCGAGATTTGTGTAAACAGAATGATCTGACAACGGTCATGCAAGTCTTGTGGGAGTTCAGGAGAGACAGGTAATTAATGTAACTGTGGTAGTAGTTCATATTTGGATATCGACCTAAACAAGTGGAACTTTTACCGCAATGTGGACACTCAATTTTGGTTAGAATATTTAATATGTCTACTTTTTTATTATTACTAAATGAATTTTATGTTTATGATTTTTATTATAATGATTTTTCTGCATTATTAGTTTAGTACACGGATTGATAACGAAACTAAGCGTCCCTGGCTGGCCGAACCTCGTGAGATATTATTGGGTTTACGGCCGAAAATGTTGTTAGCAGCGAATAAACCTAACTGATGAACCCTTCATTGTAATCATTACGAGTAGTATAGTTTAAGCATTCTATTTAATTAACTATACCCTTTACTAGGTATATATTTTAGTCCAAATCTATGTACTTAGATTGCTAGCTTGCTTTGATCAGAAGTTGATATTAATTATTTAGGTAAATGTTTAACCAAAACCGTTTACACGGAGTGAATAATTTAATTAATAAATGTTTACATTTATTTTTAGAAACGAGACCAAGTTTTTGACTTTTGTAAAGAAGCCCTGAAAATCAATGGCTCGGTATCCTTGATGAGAACCGCTGTTATTATAAACACAAATACCACATACAGCGCAATAACTACCACCACAACAGCTCGCCACACAGTAGCGTTTGTGGGAACTAGTGATGGCCATCTTAAAAAGGTGAGAACTTATTCTAAGAACAACTGTTAATGAATTCATAGTTGCATAGTTCGATTCACAGTCGCCTTTTTTATTTTTCTGTGGTATATTTTCGTTTTTCGAAAGGAGACTCTATTACCAAGACTCTTCCTGTTTATTCATGGCAGCGTAACTACTAAATTATTGATTCTAAAAATGATTTATGATCATCTGTAAGTTAACTGTTTTATGTTAGTTTACTTAAAGTCAGGGAGTTTCAGTGGGAGACAACAGGGCAGACCACCCCCGCCCTCAATCTCAGAAGGGAGCCCCAGATGGCAGTTTCTGTGAGGCATTTCTAGTCAGGCTGAATTAACACGTATATTTGATG